GGGAGGAGGAGGAGGAGGAGGAGGAGGAAGAGGAAGAATGGAGAGAGGCAAGGAGAGATGTGGAGGGAAGGAAGAGAGAAAGAGGTAGAGAAAGATGGAGGGTAGGAGGGGGAGGGAGGGAGAGAGAGAGAGAGAGATTCGGGCCAGGTTGCAAAGGACAAAAGGCAGCTAAGATGGGGTGCTGGTTTAGAGTAAAAGGTCAAGTGGGAATTATTTAGGCTCTTTCACCTCATAAAACTTTAGGTAAATACCTGGACTGGTATAATGACAAGATACTTTTTTCCTCAACTGTAAAATAAAGAGGTAGGATGAACTCTAAGTTCCTTAGGGCAGTTCTTAGTCTATGATCCTGGGCTCCTATGTCATGGTACAGTAAGAGAGCCTGTGGTCTCATTGGTATAGGGAACTCCCAGATGAGGAAAGTCCCTCTACCAATTCCGGTTGACATTCTTTTTACCACTTGTAGTCTTGGAGTACTTAGAGTACATAGTGCCCAGAGCACAGAGAGGTTATGTTCCTTACCTAGGGTGACAGTAAGTATGGATCAGAGACTACCTCTCTATCCATGACACCATGTCACTTTAGGGTACAATGAACTGTATCCAGTTTAAATAAAATGAAAAACCACATACATTTGCTGAATATCTCCTATGTGTGAAGTAATATACTAGGCACTCAGCAGACTATAGGAGGATGAATGAGACATAATCCTTGCCCTCATTGGGGAAGGGAAAAGAATAAGCATTTAGAGGTAGTGCCTACTGTGTTCCCAGAGAGGATAAAAGGTTGAGAAAATGCCTTTACCTCCCTTCTTTGTGGAGGTGGGAGCCTACGGTTGGGGAACATTGGTTACATATCAATCAGTTAGTTTTGCTGAGCTCTATTCCATCTTTCTTTTTTATTCTTTGTTATAAGAGATGACTCACTGTATAGGGGGAGGGGAGAAATTTTTCAGTAATGAAGATGTAAAAACATAAGATATCAGTGCAAATTAAATTGAAATCCCCAAAGACAAGGTGTGGTGAATTCCATTGTTGTAGATGTTCCTATTGGAGGCAGCAGAAGAAAAGTCTGCAAAGAGCTGGTATTTAGAAAGTGGGTTTTTTTTTTTGTATGTTTGCATTGCTCTGCTTAGCCACAACTCTGGGTGGGGTCAGGTGCTAGCTTGGTCAGCCCGCATGGATAGTCTGCCCAGTTCTGCTTTCATACATTGATTTCATTTTCCTAGGGCTGGTTGTGTGTTACCACTCCTGGACCATTCTTTTCCTTTTTGGCAGAGGTCTGCCTAACTCCCCTAGAAGAGGACCTAGTCTTTTTTTAACCAACCCCCCTTTCCCATCTTGAAACTAACTACCATGCTGTTGCCCCCATATTGATTCTTTTCTATGCTAAACATCCCCATTCTTTCAAGTAATCCACACATGACCAGGTCTCAAGGCTCCTTACTGTACTGATTTTCTTCTGGCTGATGGCATGTCAATGTGCCCCCTAAAGAGTGGCACCAGAATCAAATACAATGCTCAAGAAGTGTGAGCAATGGTTCTATCACCTCCATTCTGCATATATGCAGTCTCCGATTGTGCTAGTAATTTAAAAAAAGCTATTATATCACATCATTGACTCATATCGAACTTGCAATCCACTTAGACATCCAGATCTTTTATAGATTAACTGTTGTCTAGCTATTCCCCCAAACGCTATCTTGTTTTGTGAAATTGGTTTTGGGAACCCAAGCACATGTATCTCCACTAAACATCATTTTATCAGAGCAGTGTTCTAACCTGTGGATATCTTTTTTGATTCTGAGTCTGTTATCCAAGAATCAGCTAATTTGTTAGGTTATGAGAATCTCCAATGATACATCCAATTAAAGGAAGGAAAGCAGAGACCAGAGATGCAACCATGATTTTCTGTTTTAAGGTGTCAGATATTGCTAGGAGTTGATTGTTTCAGAGCCCCATTTTTTCTGCACACTAAAAATTCTCTCTCCTTTTAAATGAATATGACCTCATATTTTTGAATCTAAATTTAAAAAAAATCCTCATCAGATTAGAAAGTACTTTAAAGATTATGACAGAGGAGCAAAGACTATATGCAGGTCAAGTTTGGCAGCTTGCCTTAGTTACAAAAGTTTTCAAAGCATGTCTGAAGTTTTGCATCTTAACGATGATCCTTACTCAGAACCTGAGATGGACAGAGTTTGAGTTTTAAGTCTACTTCTGTTATCAAATAGCTATTTGACCAAGGTTGGGGTGGATGGGAAGTCACATATTGTCTGGGCCTCACTTTCTCATCTAGAACTCTAGAAATGAAGGGGTCCTTAACTTTGGAATTTGGAGATTATATGCAAACATGTTAAAAAAAGGCTTGTGAATATGGATGAGTCTGGAATTTATAAATTCTAAAATAAAACCTGGAACAGTTAAAAAAAATTGAAGGCATCAAATTTC